GTGTATGCATTGTTACTGGTGAACAAATGGCTGATAATAGTTACGAATGCTTATGTCCAGAGGAATTTCAAGGAAAAAAATGTGAACGTCTAAAAGCACGATTATATATCGCTTTTAATGATAGAGAAATGTCATCATATCTAATAGCATATACTTATTCACTTGATTCTTCAGGACCACCAACAATACGTGAAATCGTACTTAAAAAATTGATAAAAATGCAGAGCAGTGTCACATTATATTTACAGAATCCATTTCAAATTGTGTTCATTTGGATCAATGCTAAGTATTTGTTAGCTGTTCTTCAGCACTCTCTTATGTCCAACATCTCAACATCAATCGATTCAACTCGACGATGTCCTTCCGTTAATGAACTTCTCGATTCTAAACAAATCAAATTGCCTCGAATTCGACGAATTAAATATTATCATACTGTATGTCTAAACCGTCTTAACTTAAAATGTTTCTTTGATGAATCTTATATGTGTTTATGTACAACAGAACATCATGCCAATTGTTTTGCCTTCAATCATAAACATAACTTTCAATGCCGAGAAAATGTTCATTGTCTCAATGATGGACAATGTTTACAAAATGATCCAACATGTCCTGTAACAACTGTATGTGAATGTATTGACTGTTTCTTCGGCGATCGATGCCAATTCCAGGCGAAAGGAATCGGATTGACACTGGACGATATTTTGCGTTACGCAATTCGACCAAATGTTGATTTAAAAAATCAATCACCTTTGATCAAAGTAGGCATGTTTGTTACGGTGCTTTTATTTGTCATAGGTCTGATTAGTAGTGCTCTCTCATTGCTAACATTCCGACAGGAAGATACCCGTACTGTAGGATGTGGAATTTATCTTCTTACGTCATCAATCATTTCTATTTTAACTATGACTATGTTACTAATTAAATTTTTGTTTGTACTACTCACTCAAATGAATTTATCAACTAGTCGATCTGGTCTTCGTGTTGGATGTTTAGTAATAGAACCTCTGCTTAAAACTTCCTTATGGATGAATAGTTGGCTGAGTGCTTGCGTAGCGATCGAACGAGCAGTGAATACTTGGAAAGGAATATATTTTAATAAGCCGCTTAGTAAAAAATTTGCTCGAGTAATAATTATTTTCTTGCCGATGGTGATTATTGGTACACATATTTTCGAGTGGAAGGCTCGAGATTTATTCGATGATCAGGAAGAACAACGTCTCTTGTGTGTCACTCTTTATTCTGAACTCTTATACAAGGTCATGACAGCTAATATGTTCTGTCATTTCATGATACCCTTTGGTATCAATCTCATTTCAGCTTTATACATCATCATTAGTGTTGCTCGCCGACGAGCAGCAAGGCTAACTTCCAATACTTATTATGAACATCTCAAAGAACAATTTCATGAACATAAACATTTAATCATCAGTCCAATAGTTCTGGTCATTCTTGGAATTCCTCTTTTTGTCATTTCGTTATTGTTTAGATGTGTGAAAACAACGAATAATACTTGGTTATATCTTTCAAGTTATTTTATTTCATTTATTCCATCAGCATTGATCTTTGTCATTTATATTCTACCATCGGCGTTGTATAAGAAGGCATTTCTGAAATCGATAAAAAGATATCGACGATTTTTCGCTCGACAATGAACGTTATATGCAATTCTAACTTTTAATGTCCAGTTAGACATCTACTTCGCTTTAACAGATTGACTTTTTTCCATCAATAATGGAAATCTATAGCATTCTCTTACTAACCATTTTTTTATTCTGTCACTAATATGGATTATTTATTAGAGGGTCATCATACATGGTCTTTTGTTTTAAACGTGGGCATCGATGACTGAAGAAGAATGACTCAGCTCGCTCTTTTCTCAAGATATACGAACTTGCTCGAAAGAACTATAGAGACAATCACCGATACCCTGCTATTTACAGTGAACAGTAATGATCTATGTGATTGTTGATATATATATATCATATGCTTGATTTACAGCTTTTCTGCTTCTTCTTCTTCTTCTTCGCTCAATTTTGCAATTATTCAGGAAATAAAGAAAACATGGCAATAAAATCAATAAATCATTGTATTAAAAGTAATGAATGGAAAGGTCAATGGTTTTCGTTGATGATATACATTTATCTAGTAGTTTCATCTGTTAAAATGATATTTTGCAGATCGAGAACTGTTAACGTTTGGAAGAAAATCTAGTTTATTTCTGTTATATATCTACTTTCTACACCTTTCCTCATGCCGCTTTTATCTTGACTGCATGCTTGGGTGTTAGCCCTTCAGTGACATTCATACACCCACCCACACCCACACCCACATCCACTCACACCAACACCCACACCCACATCCACTCACATCAACACCCACGCTCACAATGATCCACACACTTACACTCACACCCACAACCACTCACACACTTTCAGCCACACCCACCCACACCCACCCCAACTCATTGGATGTGAACAAAAACTGAATTTGTCATGATCTACAAGCTATAAGCTATACTTTTCCTTCTACGTCTTTAGAATATTAAATATGAACAACAGAGATGTCAAATATGATTGAAGATCATTAAATATTCACTCATATCATACATCAATAGTATTTCTGCATCATATAAATCATATATTTGTTAAATATGCAAAGAAATATTATGAAAGAGAGTGATTCTCATACTAAAGATCACGTAGCTAATATCGAAAATTAAATTTCATTGGAAAAATTCATTTTCAATATATTCCTCAATCTGATACATATCAATAGTATGCTGAAATATGTCCTGTGATCAATCTATATCTTTATTTCAATATACTTCTATTATGTTTAACAAATCAACAATGAATAGTTTTTGATCGTTTCTTCTACAGAAAAGAGGTGATTAAATTAATGCACTAAACGAGAATTAATCTGTTGGTTTTGATACTTGAAAAAATTTTGTATTGTTAGAAAATAGTAGAAATTAAAGAATAGGTTAGTTTGAAAACGAATTTTGGTTGTATGGTTTCGTTTTTTATATTTCATTACAATGCTCATGAATGTGAATAGAAATAAAAGACGTCATTGATAATAAAGTAAAAAAACGTCATATACTATTTCTGAGAGTGAAATGATCGATCGATATAATAATGTATGAGAACGGTGTTAAAATATAATGAGTGGGCCAGAAATAACGAAAGGTTCAGTATTTTTCGAATTTGTTCGTCACTTCTCGCTCTTTTGACCTACCATTTTTTTGAAACCATTTTGAGGGTGGGTGTGGCTGTCAGAGAAAAACTAACGCAATATCCACGCTTACACCCACATCGTCAGGATGTGTGTACTGAAATTCTTTTTCGTTACTAATACGAAAACAAATTATTTATATTAGCATCCATCAATGAAACCAAATGAAAGAGCAGATAATCATAATCGAATATTAAAACTAGATTCCATAGTCAATATGACAATCTTTTTTTTCACATATTTATCGCATTTATTTTAGTGTTCCAAAATAAATAAAATTAATTAATCAAGAAAAAAATAGCATTTTGCATAGGGATTGGTAAATAAACATCTTGAGAATCTGGATATATATTCGTCTTTTCCTTATTCACACCCACTCTCAAAGTTGATTATGTTTTATATTAGTTGACATATTATAACCGGTACAATGACTTACTTATTCATCTATTTCTATATATCTAACTTCTTACTAACGTCTTTATTGACTTGCTTAATTATTTATCTATATATTTGCTAGTCCACCCATTTTGTAGTCTAATAAGATTGTACAAATATTTTATTGATAATATCACTAAACAACATCAAATATTGAATATTTAAATATTACAAATCAAATATTTACTAAGCAAATTCATTGCTGAAGTTATTGTATGCATTAGTTGATTGTCAATTTGTCAAAAATTTCTTCTATAAATATCGATTGTCAATACTAATGAAAAGCCATTATCAGTATGTATTCATTGGAACACATCATTTGCTGTTATCTTGTAATCATTGGTGTGTTAACTGAGGGATTACCAAGATATCGTCGACAAAATTTCGGGCAATATGCCTCACAACTATCTCTTAACATTATTCCATTAGGAGAAGTATGTATAGATATCAATTTCTTTATTTTTTAACTTTAAATATTTCTTTCAAATAGTTGAACTTAGGAGCTCAAGCTAATGGTAATATTAATGATTTCAATAATTATAATATAACAGGACAAGGAGATTTAAATGTTCCAATCTATAATGGTGGTCCTAATAATCCATCAGTTGATCTTGGTGCAGTAGCAGGTATTAGCTTTGGTTCTTATAATGTAAGTTTTTCGATGCTAATTATTTTGATATATTTTCTATATTTATCAATTAGGGACAATTTTTTGGACCAAAACCAAACTATGATGCTGGTCTTAATGTTCATATTCCATTTGGTCGTCGGTAGCAGCCAATCTTTTTTCATTTCTCAAATACTACGATTGATTTTAAAAAGATTAAATTTGTGATATCTGTCTAGATTTTTTATGTAATTAAAGAAATTTTATTTGTAAGAGCGAAGATATGTTGAAAAAAGACACATCAGTTTTCACCCTAACCATTTCATACGGTGATGACAATAAAAATTTAGAAAATAATTTCTTCACAATGTGGTTAGAAATATTATCAGGATTACTTGATACAATTACTAAAAACGTATAACTTTAAACGTCCACATTGAATCAAATTAGTGTTGTAGATTTTAATGGTTTATAAAAATTTCATATAATGTTTTTCTCGTTGGTTTATTGAAACAAGTATGTATATAACCACGTGCAAGCAAAAATATGTTGTGTTTCTATAGATTGCAAACAGAACGCAAGAAAATTTCTGTTTTGTCAGTAATTATATTAGAAGGTTATTTCAGCAATGTTGTATGAAAGAAAAAGGTGAAGACATATGTTACTACTTCTCACACGTGTATCAAATCGATTCAGATTATTTTAGTATAACCTTCAACGACATATGGATTTAGAAGATTTAGCAAATGAGATTATACTTGAAATTTTTGGATATTTTTCTACGTTTGATCTTCTTCGATCGTTCTACAATCTGAATATTCGTTTTAATCATCTTGTTTTCGCAAATTTTCATACTTCTGGTGTTGATTTTTCAAGAATATCTCTACAAGATTTTCATCTTGTTTGCCAAGAATATCTTCCAGCAATAGCTGATCACATACCATCATTACGTCTTACTAATGATGATGATACACCACAACAAGCAGATATTTTTCTTCAACATGGTTTAACACTTCGTCAACTTCATCAATTACGAAAACTTTCACTATGTGATATTTGTTCTAATGACATCATGATTACAATGATGTCTGACTGGACATCTCTTCGATATTTAACCCATTTAACTCTAGCTGGTTGTTATTTAACATTTGATCAGAGTACCAGTCAAATTTTAATCGATACTATTTGGAGTTTACCGATTCTGATCTATTGTTATTTAAATATCAGTTTTGAAGAAACGAGCATTGCCATACCAACAGTTAAATCTATATCATTGAAATATTTATTTATTTGGGGTTTTGCATATGACCAAAGTCAACTTAATACTATATTTCAACATACACCTTATCTAGAGCAATGTTCTATTCTATTCAATATGGATATTCCTGATCAGTCTCTTGTTATTTCACAACCCCTTTCATCGATGACTCGATTACGAATTCATTCATCTCATATAGAAGATGATTGCTTAGTCAAATTCTTACAAATCATGCCGAATTTATATCAATTAATTATTGATGTCGATTCTCTTGATTTACATTCTACGAATTCGATTTTAAATGGTTATCAATGGGAAACAATCATTCGTTTTTATTTACCTCATCTTCGAATATTTCGATTAAGAATAGAATTTTCATTTCCCGATCAAAATGATTTAGATAAACAAGTCGATGATCTACTTAAAACTTTTCGAAGTTCATTTTGGCTTGAAGAACATAAATGGATTGTTCGATGTCATTGGAATCAATGGAATACAGCTTGTCTTTATACATTACCATACAAATTTGTAGATTTAAAATTTGATTCGTCGATGAAATATAAGTCTACATGTCCGAATGATAATCATTATTTGTCCTATAATCATGTTGAGGATCTTCAATACAAGATCCTTCCAATTCAATCACCAATGGTCTCGTCTATTCGTTTCATGAATGTAGATCATTTATCAATTGAATTTCCAATGGATATGCATTCTTTGCCGAATATGCCTCGATTAGATCAAGTCACTTCATTGGAAATTTGTATCATTAATAATTATCTTGCTCAATCTAAACTTCAAACTCTGTTGAATCAAATGCATTGCCTGTCTTCATTTAGTTTCCATCCATGTTCATTATCTCTTCTGGGATCGTCATTCTTTAAACTAACACATACGAAAATTCGTCAGCTCGATTTCAGAATATTTTTTCAATACTTCGATGATGAACAATGTACTAATCTATGTGATTCACCATTAGGCAAACAATGTGAAGTTCTATCGATAAAAATTAAAAAACGTCAATCATTACCAGATCTTATCAATAACATGATCAATCTTCGTACTTTAAATATTCAATTTGAAGACGATCAATTTGAACAAGAAAACGATGATGAACTTGTCCATTGGTTAAGAAATCATTTGCTATCGACATGTTTAATCAGTAGAGATACTGCACTCAATAAAGATATTCGCATATGGATTCGTTAGATAGTTAATACAACAATTACTTTTAGTTCACATTCATAACTATATTGAATAATAAAGTATACGATTGGTTTGATATTTATGAATGTACTAAATGAATAATCAAATATCTTGTATGATTCAAACTTTGAAAAAAACGTCGATCTATTGAAGCATATAACATATGTGCTATATCATCGGTTTTATTTCGATTTTCTTAAATAATGAAGCACTTTTATAATTAATGGTTTACCATTTTATCTAATCGTGAGAAATCTGAAAAAGACTTTATTCAAAAGAAAACTTAATTCTTTAAAAAAACCTGCTATTTTATACCATCTGGAGAATTTGAGATGAATATAACACATACAAAAGACAATCATTTAATGTTTTTTAATATTCTACATGATACTCTAATATTAGTGAGAGATATTTTATGTCTACATTACAATATCGTGCAGATCATTAGTGATGAAAAATTAGGTGAAAAAAGGCTATCAGATTCAAAGCCGAGAACAATCGACTTGATATCATTATTTAGTATAAAATATACACATAGAATATCATCTATTATTATTCTTTGCGCCAAAAAAACACAACATAAATCTCTGTTATTTTTTTGTGAGTTTATTTATTATTATTGGAAAATAGGTCGATATTTATTTATACATAAATATGAATTATGATTAAAAAAAATAGTTCGTATTAATAGAGTTGTTTACCATCTTTGATAACCGTATCCACCACCATAACCATTAACTCCTCTTTCACCACCATATACTTGACCAAATGTTGGATTTGTATTTCCACCCATGAAATTATCTAATCGTTCACCCATAACACCTAAATTAGAAGAAAAAATTTGTATTTCATTTTTGATAGCAAAGAATATTAAATACTTACTGTTTACTCCACCGGGAATATTCTGATTAATCCACATATCAGATTGAACTTCTGAAAAAGGTGTACCATAGCTTTGAGGATAATAACTACCGTACATTTTTGATATATTAATTGACGAGTAAATTACGAAGAAATAATTCTTTTTCGATCTATGAATAAAACCCTATGTATTACCTTTATTTATATATATAAATATTTTCTTCTCTTCTTTTGAATACTCTCATACATAGATAAAAAAAATAAAATAAATTCAGTCAACCATAACCGTGAATCACATTTATCAAATACATGTACGTCCCTCTCTCTCTCTTCGATTATTTTTGTATATCAACCTACGTAGTATTATTTTAGTACAAACTTAAATTCATATTCAGTTCTTGTTTGGCTATTACATCACCTTGATTAATAATTATCGAAATATTTTTTGTTTTCCTCTTGTTTATCGATTCAAACGAGTATGTATTACGGCAAAAAAAATGAATCTATATGCTTGACAGCTTATGATGTAAATATTATTCATCTAATTTTCGTCATCAAAATAAAAAAAATACATACTAAACGAACCATCATTAACTTTCTTTATTTTTTAAATCATACAATATAATTAAATATTTTATTTAGTGTGATTACTATCGATGCAAGTGTATTCATTCTGTCTTTATAAATTTCAAACGTAACATTTGTTAAAAAAACATAACAATATCATACATCAATAATTTTTTTTGTATAAAAAAATAATTCTTATTCCTGTACGGAGATGCAATTAAGAGTTTAATAAAATATTCTTTTCTTCTTATATTCTCACTTCTACACCAGCATTATAAATAGAATTTGAGTAAAGATTTTATTTGTTCGAAAAATAATCTAATCAGAAAAACTCATTTATCAATTAAAATATCAAACATGTGTAATAACAAAATTTACTAATGTAAATTTCTTGGTACTGAACAGCATAGAAACAGAGATGAAAATAAGCAAATTTTTTCATTCTCTTCTCAAAGTTCATTTCATTGATTATATTTAATAATTTATTATACAAAACAATTGATTATGTACAAAATATTAAATAAAAATGATGATTTTGGTTTAAATTCTTCAATTGAAAAAGATTTTATAAAATAGTTAGAAAAACAACAAGAAGCAATTAAAATATTGAAATGCCTATAACAATAAGAGAAAGAGAAATTAAAATCAATTTAATTATCTTAATTCAGTTTAATTCGTACGCAAATAGAAGCCCGTTTTATATTATATTTCATTTTTGTTATCTCTTATTATTTTTATTGTAATATTTGAATTTTTTCTCATACTTAAAAAATGTAATTTACAGTCCTGATGAGTGTTTATATTGAAATAATAAATAACACGTGACACATTGGTAAATTATTTTGTGTATTCCTTCAACATTTAACTTCGATAAATCAATCTATTGTTGACGAGTACAAATTGAGATATATCATGACCTCGGAGGAATAATTCTAGCTCGACCCGTACCGACCGAATGAACTTGAGTCTTTTTACACAGTAGCAATTTGGGCCAAATCTCAGGAAGTGAACTAAGACACATGAATGGCATGAGAATTGTAGAAAATCGTATTAAAAGAGTAAAATAAGAGATTTGTATAGCAGCTGCAAAAGTTGGTAGACAACAGTTTTGTACAATGCCTACAATAAACGATGGTAAAGTCAGACTGAGAAAGAGACTTGCAAACGTTAATAGTTGAATAATCATCCGACGATGTCTGCGCCAATTGAATCGATTATTTTGTATTCGTTGCTTTTGCTTGATTACTCGTACGATTAACATTAAAGTAAAACTAGTCACGATGGAGACAGGTACGAAATTATGTGCAATTCGAAAAAAGAGTGCCACAGATGGAATCTTCAATGCA